AGCTGGTCTTAATGCCTCCAGTCTTCTCTGATGTCCAAAGCCTGCCTCTGCCTTCAAGAGGTGGCACAGAGCAGTGGAGGAGAGGAAAAATCAAGAGCTTGTAAGGATGGATCAGTTCAGTGTTGCCCAGTGCCACTTTTTGTTGTGCTTTGCCTAGTTGTGTTGTCTTCAACTGTGACAGTAAAGGACCTTTATGACAGGTATAACGTGGTAGGTCATGATGCAGGGGACAGTAAAGAAAAAAGCCAGGCAATAGAACAAGCAAACCTGTAGCCTGCGTGTTGAGATGCCAGAGGTAATGCTAAGATGTTCAGGATCATTATATTTGTCCTGAATACCTCTCAGTACCTTATTGTAGAGAATAAGTATGTCACTTTTAGTCTTTTCTCCTCTCCAAAGGAGGGCTGTGCATGTGAGCGTGTGAGTTCACGTGCTTGTGCAGTCTGTCAGTCTTTTCTCTTATAAGTTCTTCATTTTTTTATTCAGTACCAAGCAAATCTGGTGCAAAGAGAGGGGTCTCACAGACAATGGATTTCCAACAAGTTTCAAGAAAATTACATGTTCTTGTGTAAAAAAAAAAAACAGAGAGAACAAGAAATTACTCCCAGAAAGACTCCCAGCTGAAAGCAGCATCGTAGCATGAGTCCTTACACACAGGAGCAAAAGGAATCATCAGAAGGATGGGTAGGGGGCAGAAGAAGCCCTGAGAGACCCAGCCCCAGGAAGGCTGCTTTGGATATTGCACTTTGCCCCAATATGCAATTCACAGACATTATTTCCAGCACTCTCAAAACTAGAAGCTGTGCTGCTCACTGCAGCACACATGTTCTTTTTTTTTTCTTCTTTTTTTTAGAGGGGGACATTAGGGATGAAGTGCACTGTCTTCATGACCTTGATTAGCTATGTCAGTCCAGGTAACAGCCAAACACGCTGGGTTTATGGGCTTTGGAAGGGGAAGTTTTCCCTCTATTTTTTAAGGCTAATTTGGGGTAGAATACCAACATGCTTTTACTAAATGTAGTCTGATTTTTCTGGTGAAAGTACAGATTGCTTCTTCTCCACCTGGTGTAGCAGCAACCTGCTTTTCTAAGGATGTGAACATAGCATAGTGTTGTGACTAAGACATAACACAAGAGTTCTGTGTGATCTTTATATTGTAGCTGAGATCACTTAGCCAGGTTCCGACTCAGAATTAGCTGCAGCCTCTCTAATGAAATTTGCAGACAGCCAAATGGACTCTTTGAAAGAGTTTTTCTGATTGACACATTCTTGAAGCAAAATTTGAGACATCTTATGAATATTGACTTTGTGTACCATTGCTTGTACTTGGAGAGTCCATAGTACTTGCTCCTTATACTCTTCCACCTTATTGAAGCCCATGCCTTTGGTGATCTGTCCAGGTAGATCAGTTAAAAGCTATTTGAGGCCAGGCAACCATTCTGAATTGTTAGATACTGATTTAATTCTGTTTTTAAGCTTTTCCATCTCTGTTATTTATCTTGTTGATGATGGTCGTGGCTATGAGAGTTGATTTGAGCTGCTGAGCCTGGAATTCATCTGTTTTGACTATTCACTAAGCACCTGTTTTAGCAACGCTTTTTCCTGTACATTAAGCTTCAGCCCTGTGCATTTGTAGCACTGTTACTGGAGTCAATAAAAAGTAAACACCATGTCTATAAGCTCCTAATTGGTGTGTCACAGCCACATTAGCAGCTCTGTCCTCCCCCTTGTCCTATCAAAAGCATACACTTGGGAATGACAGGGCATTGCTAATGTCACCCCTCACATCCAACTGAAAGGAAGAATCTAATCTTCTTCTGTGAAGAACATGAATTCCTAAATTTCTGTCAGGTTTTCTTTTTTACATTTCTTCCTCCTGTATCTTTCTTTAGAGGAAAGGAAAACACCAGTGTATTCCACTGCAAACAGTATGCACCCTTTGGTTTTAGTATTCATTCACTTCAAATATATAAATACGTTAAAATAAATTGTGCTCTGGGTGGATATCTCAGTCCCTAAATGCTATAGATATGGTGGGAGGGAGAGCACAAGCACAGGCACATTGCCAGATTGCCTGTTTCATTCTTTGTGGACTGATTCCAGTTTCAGAAGAGAGAGGTTTGTATGGTCCTCCCTGGCCACTCAAAACTGGGCGCTTACAGCATCAGTGAGGTGGATCTCTAACGAGTTTCTCTCCCTAAAGTGTAATGTGAACCCTTCCACTTCTGGGCAGTTTGTCTTGCTGTAACACTGCTGAGTCTTTCTTGCAGCCTATGTCAAGGATTGAACTTTCCAAATTATCTGTTTCAGACGTTGAGAAAGAAAGGACTTAATGGCTGTGACAGTCCAGACCCCGATGCAGACGATTCAGTAGGTCACAGCCCTGAGTCTGAGGACAAGTACAGAAAAATTAATGAAGATATTGATCTAATGATCAGCAGGCAAAGATTATGTGTAAGTACTCTGAGCTCCCTCTCATTTTTTTTTACTTTTTGATATTTCTCTGAACCTGGCAGGCATTGAACAAGAAAGAAAACAAAGGTTGTGAAAGCCCCGATCCTGACTCCTCTTACGCTCTCACCCCACGCACTGAAGAAAAATACAAAAAAATTAATGAAGAATTTGATAATATGATCAAGAGCCATAAAATACCTGTAAGTACCAAAGGTTAGATGGCTGTCTGCTGATAACTGCTGCAGTAACAAACCATAACCCTTTCAGTTCTGGCTTCCTAAAGAAAACATTTCAGCTGGACACAGGCTTTAATAGCCCAATATAGAACTAAACACTGTGGTCAGAAAATTGCACACAACATATTTTCCTTCCAAGTCTGTACCTCTGACACACAGACAAAGCCTACTACGGGTGAAACCTACAGAAGGAAGTGAAATATACAGATATACATTATATTCACTTGATTTACAGAACTGCTTTACCACACCACTCACCCAAATTGTACCTAAAAAACGATGATGGGAATCTTTCTTTGTGGACAGGCGAACAAACCCACAGGATACTTTCTGTGGTGATATAGAAAAAAATGATGTAGAACTGAAATTCCTTGATATACAGCAATTAGTGCGTTCTGTGCGTGTCACTCCAGTTGTCAAGTGTCTCTGCTAAACTCAGTTGCAGCACTGAAGGGTTACAGCTACTTGCTCGCTGCAGAGAAACAGACTGCATGAGAGCCTAATGGCAGGATTCAGACATGTTTGTGTGTTGGGGTGATTTTACAGCTTTACCAGAGAATTTGCTTTGACCTCATCAGCATTTCTTTAATGCTTTAACATGAGCTAAATTTTGTGTTAACCAAGTCAAAATTTCTAACCATCAGTCATATGCCTTGCCAGATATCTAAGAGAAATAACTCTGCATGTGCTATTATGTTTGCACAAGACATACAAGGGGAGAATATTATGTTTAATATTACGTTTATAAAGCTGAAAATAAAATTAAAAAAAAAGTGGAGATTTCAAGTTTATATTTGGTCATTCCTCCAAGAGTGTGTGGAAGAGAAAGTAACAAACCAAAGGTTTTCCCAGGTATAATGAGGCATCTGAGTTTCAATAAGTAACTGGTTGCTTCTAAAAGAGATCATTTGGATGTGCTCATTCCTCATTCCCACAAGCAGGGTGTATGGTTAGGTGCCAAAAAGGATGTCTGTATGCCCAGAATGAGCAAAGTCTCCTCTGCAGTTTGGGCAATTGTGTGTACAAAATCTGATACCTAAGCTGAGGATATCTCGTAAGGACGCCCAGATTCTGTCTCATGCAATCTAACTGTTCTTTCCATTCATTCTCAGCAGAAAGTTTTTCACTCAGTTAAAATTTTAAGTTCTCACATCATGGCAAATGTAATTTTTTGGGGAAAAAAAAAAAAAAGTAAATTAATCATAAAGACTTTCCCTGTATAGCAGTCAATTTGATAAATTAGTATTTGGAGTGGCTAGTTAAAGCTGCCTGACGTGTATATAATATCAGGGAGGAATACCTATATGTATTCCTTTTTTTCCTACCTCCCTTTTTATTTGCTTCTTTTACATAGTTGTTTTTTGTCAGGAAAAAAAAAAAAAGCTCTAAACCTGTCACCATGAATTTGGTTTCTTGGGATGGAACTCAGTTTGACAACGATGACTGCAACATTTTAGGGTGATTGTTATATGCTGGAATGCTTAATCCTTCTTCACGTCAAAAATCTTACCAATTGCCACTCCTTTCCTCTTTCAAGGATGACCTTTGGCTTGTTCAAAGCAAAGTGGCAGAATTTTCAATCAGTTGGTATTTAACAAAGTTACTTTTCCACCTTAAAAATTCTGTTTGCCATCGTCCTTCAGATCCTCTGTTTCTCTCAAGGTTCCTTTTTTTTGTTCCAACAAAGCAGCACGTCATAACTATTTGAAATCTTAAGACATGAAAAAGAAATTGGAAAAAAAACACATTCCTGTGGCAGGGAGTTCTATCATTTTCTTTATCCCCATAAGCATTTGAGAAAATAATCTTTTTTATAAAACTAGGAGGGTTCTAGGGATTAGGAACAACAAAGTTAATCTAAACACGGTGCATCACTTTTGTCCTCCCCAAAATTAATGGATTTTACATCTGGTGGCTTTCAGGAAATGTAACCTTTTGACATCAAATACACTTCAGCTGTTATCTTGGTGATATCTTTGTTTTCTGAGATGTATTTTGGGTATAATGTAACTTCCTACCTTGCAGGGATGCTACAAGGTAGAGTGTTTTATCTTTTTGTGAAAGTACTTCAGAGGTGCTTCAGAGATGCAGAACTGCAAGACGTTAGCATTTCTTTTCATGTAAAACAGGATATCCCTTTTCTGAATGCTTCAAACACAGAGCTCAAGTTCTGTGTGCTCCATCGAGCTCCTTACCACAAAAGGAAGAATCAGTAGATGTTCTCCCTTAATGCAACAGGAGCTCCTTTTTTTGGCATAAGCTGAGATGTAATGCCCAAGATGGAGCTCAAAGCTAGCACATAATGGAAATCTGTAAATTTTGTGTGTATTTTTATTTATACATATTATATATTACATTGTATACAATAATATCCTTAATGGTACAAATCAGTGTAACTTCAGGGAAGCCAGAGAAGTTATATTCATTTATTTATGATGATCAAAGGTAGCCAAGAAAGTTGAAGGGAAGAAAGCAAAACTGAACAAAAAGTCACCAACTAAAGTCATTAAATCACTACTTGCAAAATGTGTAAAACAATGCAACGCCTGTGCCTGGTCTTCTAACAGAATAAAGCTGCTGCCAAATGAAGACAAAATTGGCTTTTGCTCGTAACAACTAAGGCCAATAATGTTTCCTCAGATAAATTCCTGGGGATAAGTATTTATATTGTTCTAAAACATCTGATAATAATTAGACATTTATTTGTAGTTTTCATAAGAGTGATGAAAGCAGAGGAGACAGAAATAGTCTACTAGGAGAGAGCTGTGAGCGTCTCTGTCTCTGAATAAATGAAGGCCTGGTTGAACATGGGAGGGATAAAAACAATATTGAACACAGAATGTTTGGTCCATTAGTTTCCAAGGGTTTTGAGTCCCCAACGCTTTGCTTTGCACAACATACTACAGCTTGTGGAGCACACATCTAACAGTGTGTGTGCTGGACACTGGTGGTGTCCTCTCAGGTGAGACATCTGCCCTCTTTGGGATTTGTATCCCAAGCAGAAAAAGCACAGGGGAAAAAAAAAACACAAAAGACCACAACTAAATATGGCAAGTGACATACACAAGACAGTAAGTAAGGTTTTTTTTTAAATCAGTAAATGGCAAATAATGCACCAAGGCAGCAGGAGGTGCTTATCTGTGCCCTGAATTGTTTGACCAGTCCCTGGCATGCTTTTGGCACCGGCCAAATAATGTTCTCCCAGACGATTTCTTAGCTCTGTTTGGTTGTTAGGCCAAGCCAGGAACAATTCCCAATTGACAGTTTATATGTAGTCATGATATTTTTGAGGTTGAGAAAGCCTAATAGTATGGACTTCTCTGTAGCCTCAGATGGCCTCAGTTTCTAGGCAAGTTTAATTTACTAATATAGATATTACGCAAGTGCTTCATCAGCTTCAGTATCACCCATCAGGCCCAGCTGGAATAGATATGCCCCGTGACTTACCACCAGGAATGACTGCAGAATCTGCAGGAGGCTGCAGTTCTTGGTGAAGGACATATAAGACTGCAAAGAAATTTGGGCAACCAGGGCAAAACTGTAACTGGAGACTTGTTGCTTAATACTGGTGCTTAACCAGACAAACTTCTCTCTCTTACCTTTGACTATTGAGGAGAAGATATAAAAAGTACTGTATTCTAGATATTGCAAAGCAGAGAGTAAAATAACTTTGCTGTGATCCAACTGCCTATGAAGTGCCCTGTAAAAAAATGTAAATATATACAGACAGTAGATAAATGAGAAAAATGAAATAATTTCTACAGAAACTAAGAAAAAAATTTAACTCATTTATAAATATAATTAGTTTTTCAATCACAAATTGAAAGCTGAGTAACTGCTTCAGCAATGTTTGTATGTCTCAGTGATGACTAGTGAGACTTGCAACCGCAAGAGCCACCAAGACTGGAGCTCTTTTGTGCAGTACTAATGCAGGAAAAGATCCCAACCCTTGAAGGGTTTGTTTTGTACATGGAAGAAAGTCAGAGCATAATGATGAAAGCAGACAAGCCCACTGAGGCTTGGCAAGACCTTCAGGTTTGCATTTGTACCTGTGTTTTAGTTTAGATATCTCAACAGAAACTGGGTTTAAGAAAAAAAGTTAAGAAGATAGAGGCAATATTGCTGTGTGCTCAGACTCAGAGGGCACAGGTCTCACAACAGAGGTGAAGGAAAGTGCTCCCCAGTGGGTGACTGACGTGGGCTGGCACCTGAGCAGGCAGGATCCTGTGCTCAAAGCCACCAGGCAGCGAGAACTCTGCCATAGCCCTGAACATTGCAATAACCAGAGAACCCATGTTGGCTTATTCATGTCTCACATCATGCTGGAGACAGAGATAAGACATCTACCTTGATGTGAGTTCACTGGCTAAAACCTTTTGAAAAGGCAGAAACCAGCATCAGCAGCTGACTTTTGGCTGCAGGAGCACCCATGCACTTCAGGCTTACGTGGGATTTAGGAACACCTTCACTGTGGCCAGTGAAGAGAGCATCTTGCTTGGAAACATACCTTCAGGCTGACAAAATCTTTCAGATTATGCTATGTGAACCTGTTTCCACGGAGCTGAGACCTCAGCTATAACATACACCCATAGCCCTTGTGTGAGGTACTTTATAAATTTCCCTTTGAGACAAAAGTCACACATGCAGGTAGCAAGCTGGACTTCAACTGTAAGCACATCTGCAGGCAAAAAGAGACTGCATTTGAAAGAAATAAAGGACATATTTCAACCATTATGTGTTTCATCACATAATCATTTAGTCTTTTTTCTGTTTGTGAAACACAAACATTGGCATGTCCCAGGATCCTGACATAGACCTCAGAGCACGTGCAGATTTGCTCTTTACACACTGAACATGTGTATTCTCAAGATGCCTCTGGTCCCCTTCCCACCTCTACTTAAACCAATGAACTCTGTGGAAAATATGGTCCTTGGGGTGCACTTCAGCTTCTCAGCAAAGGGAAATGAGTCCCACCATGCAACCCCATGGCTGGGCAGTGATGAGAGCAGGTTCACCCACTCAAGTGCCCCACCTCATCTCAGCTGTTCTGCTACAGCCACCTCTCACAAAACCAGGCCATGGGCTACGTAGACAGTTTCAGAGCTAAATTAACACCTTGAAATAAGTCCCCAAGGCATTTGTGTAATGTATCCTTCACATCATACCCTGAGCTAAAATCCTGCTGTGTGTTTCAGTGGTTAAGCAAAATGATTCCTCTATATTTAGAGCAAAATTATGTCTGGCTCTAGAAAGAGGAGAGAGGAAAAAAGAAAAAAAAAGGAAAAAAAAAGGCTAACAGTAATTTGATGGCCAGCACTGTAATATGCAGGGCACAGCCAACAGCTCTGGCCAGCCAGAGAAGAGCTGTGTGGGTGGCACAAGGTCAGGGTGCCTCTGTTGCCTGACACAGCAGATTATGTGTCCAGCTCTCAACATACTCCCTCTAGGTCCTTGAAGACTTACCACTGCTATCAGCTGCCAACAACGAAATTAAAATCTGATATTTCCTCCCTCTGAAGATGTTACAGGGCTGGTTTAAAGAATTTTTGATGGGTTTAAACTCTTGAAGCTTATAGGATTTTTGGATGGCAAATTAAAGGGTGCTTCATTTACATTCAAGTATTGTAATATTAAGAATGCTGTCAGGTAATTGTGAAAAAGTATTTTTCTGTTGACAAAGGAGAAATTAATTATTTTAAAACAGAGTAAATTAAGTATGGTGTTCTAATATATCCAAATGTCACCACAGTCATAAATTTTAGAGAAGTTCAGGCAACTGCCATGCAAGAAAACCTCAACCAACAAACCCACCAACCAAACAAGAACTGAGCTGAGCTTTCTAAGAGCATAATGAGTATCTGATACTGCATCTCCTCACACCCTTTGTCAGAGTGGCCCGTGATAAAATGGCTCAGAAAAGGATCCTGCCTTACAATATTAAAACAATATACTGAAAAGACATCACCAAACATCACTACCCCCTCAAAAACAAACAAACAAACAACACAAAGTACCCAAAGACTCATGTCTATCTGAAGTTCTTATATTCACTACCTGTCCTTGAGAAGAACTTCACTTGTTTTAGGACCCTCTAAGCTAAGACAGAAACTTTAAAAAAAAAGCAATTTACTCTGTTAGTGCCTTCAGCGTGATTTGGGATCATTCTGGTTGCTAAAGCAACATAAGCTGAAATTAAAGCTTTCCCTTTTGCATTCCACCCCTTCTAATTTTTCTCCATGCAATGAAGTCATCATAATCATGTACCTTTGATCTTGCAGTCATCTGTGACACTAGATTAAGTTATCACAAGTGAACAATTACGACTTCACAGAATGAAAGAAAAGAAAATTAAGCTTCAAAAAGCAGGGTTTTGTTTTAAACAAAAAAAAAAGAAAAAAAAAATAACTTGCCAGTTCTTACCAAAAAGCTGCATTTAGGGAAGATGGAATCATGATTTGAAAAATCATCTTTAAAAGTCTGGGTAACTCTTTTGAAACTCTTCTCTTTACTCTTGGGGAGGAGGGGAAAAGCGTAAATATTTTAACCACCAACTACACAATATTTGAACCAAATATAGAGCAACAGTACGTGAAGGCTGTTGTGCTTCTGTACTATTCTTGTCTTTGTTTTCCTTTTTTACTCGTACAGGCTGTTCCACCACCAAACTTTGAGATGCCAGTTTCTATCCCAGTGTCCAACCACAACAGTTTGGTGTACAGCAACCCAGTCAGCTCGCTGGGAAACCCCAATCTTTTGCCTCTGGCTCATCCTTCTTTGCAAAGAAATAGCATGTCTCCTGGCGTGACACATCGGCCTCCGAGTGCAGGTAACACAGGTAGGCTCTGTTCCATCCTATCCCTTTTAAATGCTCTTTTATCAGTTGCTTCTCTGCCTCAGGTCACTTGAAAAGGCACTCGGAGAAACAAGGATTCTGCTTTTACCAGTCGTAACGACCTAACACAATATTGCTGTGTTGAAAAGTCCAAAGAGCCAAAGGGGTTTCTGTTCCCAATTTAGAAAATTTAAAAAAAAAGAAAAAAAGAGTTCTAGAAAAAGCTGAATATTGACTAAGACTAAAGGAGATCAATAAAGGATAAAAGGGCAGACAATTTGCTGTTTCGTAATAAGGGCAGTTTGTCTGCTTAATTCATACAGGAACTCACTATAGCATAAAGCTTAAGGGGGCAGGGGAGAAAAAGTAGCCAAAGCAAACAAGCTGAAGCAAGTAAAATAGGACAATCGTTACTTAAATCGTCAGTCTGGAGGCTACATGCAGAATTTGTTATTTTTTATGCATTCACAAGTTCCTTGATGGGAGAATGTTGTTTCAGCTCTGTACTTGAGTGCCTGGTGCAGCAAGAGGCTGTGCTTGGCTCTGGTGGTGAAGAGGGCTCACCTCTCAATAGGATAATTGGGGATTAAGTTCATTCAGTCTGTCTGGCTGAAGCAACATCACAATCCTTAAGTATGCTGGGTTCAAAGAGCCATCTGAGGTCCCCAGGAGCAAAGAGAAGTTTTAAAAATCCTCAGGGTGAATGTCTATGAAAGGCTGAGGAAATTAAAACAAAAAGCTTTGTAAATATGCGTTATAGCTTCTGAATTACGCTCAGGAGCTTTGAGTCCCTTCCTGCCAATCCTGTGTGGAGGACTGTGCTTTTCTGACTCATACTGAACTGAAGATGGTTTTCAAATGAAGGGCTACTGTACATAACTCAAATATAATTGATTTTTTATATTGTCCTTGAAAGGCAAATGTCTCGTGCGGGTAACATTAAACATTACGGTTTTATGACTGTGGGTCTGTTCCAATGCCTGCTGAAGTCAGAGGAAAGAAGTGGTGGGTACTGGAGCAGGCTGTTTGAAGTCAGAGAAAATGTTTTGAATGTTTGCCTGTTATAATTCATCGTGCTCACTTGCAGCATTTCATTTCAACCCCCTAGGTGGCCTGATGGGTGGGGACCTCACAACCGGTGCAGGCACCAGTGCAGGTAAAGAGAAAAGAATTTATATTTATTTTTCTAAGTGAACAAAGGGCTTCCTTCAAAGGCTGACTCCTAAAATAGCTCTATATTGAAGGTGGGATACTAGAAAGTGATCGGCATGGGTTTATTTCTCCCAGCTGGGGAGTGGAGAGTTCATATTTGTGCTTCCCTTGTTGGTAGGAAGAGGCATGTTTTCAGCAATGTCAAAAATCTTGCACCTCAACAAATTCCAAAGGTACAAATGTCTGTTTTCCTTCTCATTAGCCTTTCCAGAAAAACTTTTGGAACCGTTGCATAGCGCTGTCCAGGCTAAACTACTGAGACCAGCATCATAAACCCTGATCCTTTCTAAGTCAGAGAAAGTTTTTCCCATTGACTTTAGTGGAATAGGTTTTTCATTTTATGAATTTAAGCTTGAGTAAAGATTTCAATATTGAGTCACTCATTAGACTTCGATCTAGTGAGCACAGATGTAATTTCAAGCCCTTGCTCTAAGACCAGCGCTAGCCAGCAAAATCTGTTAGCATTTACTTAAATAATCAGTAATTAACTTAAGCTTAGTTTCATGTATTTGCTTAAGTGCTTTGGTACACAACAGGGAAAGGATTTTCAAAATACCCATGCAGAGAAAAAGATTAGTCCCTTTAGTCCTGCTCCCATAGAAGTAGTGGGGACTGTACTTGCTAAGGTTTGTGTTATCAGAGCAGTGTTGTCAGAGTAGTCCCCTTTGCTCAGTAACCTCAGTGGTTTGTTAGCTATGTCAGCAATGTTGCATTATTACAAATACGGATTACAAAAGACAATGGCCAGATTACTGTTTCAGTTTGAGAAGTAAACACATATGTTCGAAGAAAATAAGCTGAGTGGTAAAACCTGGAGCACATCCAATTTCACTGGGTTAACTGCTCTCGGAAAGAACTCTATGGAAAAAAAAAAGCAGTTGGAAGACCGAGGCTGATACATATGCCAGTTTTGACGTTGTCTCATAAAGTTACTTATAAAGAAACTCTGGTTATTGTGATCTTAGGTCTTCTCCCCCTGTGTTAGACCACCCCCCCTTTTATCTTCAAGCGTAGATGAGTCACAGATGTTTGTGTGATGCATTTGTGATAAAATTGTATCAGAAAGGCAGCTTAAACGCATGCTGAAGATTTGAGGGGTCATTTTTTATTAGTTTTGGAGCAGGGAAGGCAGACCATGGGAACATAGCTATCAGTCGCCTTTGTTCAAAAAAAAAGGAAAGAAATGATAGAAAATTATAGTTTTGTTAATTACCTTTTGTTAGCCTGTGAAATGCAGCTAAAGGAAGATTCATCCTGGCAATGTTTGCTTTTCATCTCCTTTTAACCTCGTGTA